TCATCATTTCACAACTTAATTATTTGCCAAAATCATAGCAATAAACTGTGCACAGAATGATGAGTTTTCACCTGAGAGGGAGACTGCAAAGCAAGGACGCTCTGACGTGTGAGAAAGAAAGCGGTGGTTTTTAACTGAGATTTCTGATATTTAATGTCTCAAAGCAACCCTTCATAAATCCCTATTGTACAATATATTTCTTCTTTTATGTCAAATGCCCTTGGAAATAAAAACGCGAAGAAAAAACATTCTGCCAGACATTTTGGCAAGATGATTTACAGGAAATGTTACGAAGCAAAAAAGAGCCTTTATGGGAGGGCAAGCAAAATGACAAATACAAATGCAGTAGTAACTCACAGCCCAAAGGTATTACCATCAAAGAAGCCGTGAACACTTCTCAAGGCCAGATAGAGAGGTCTTAATGGAAGGATTGCCTTCAACGGCATGTTGCGTTTTCAGCATTTAATTTCAATATTAACGGAGCGACTGCCAAGGGATTAAACTTGTCCGTGAGGGCGACCACCGGGGAGATGGAGCATTGAAATCAGTTCGTGTCTAGGTGTTCCGAGGCGGATTATTATATCACAGGATCATGGAGGCAGTGGCAGCTTTGGGAGGCGTGAGTTGGTCATGGCTGATATTGATACGTTTCATACAAGATGTTAATAATTGAAATGTGCTATGTAAAATAAAGTTAAAAATAAAAGCGACAACATAATTTAAAAGTTTGCAAAATACTCATCAAACCGTTGGCATCCATCAAACGTTATTAATTAAATCTTAACATGATCATAACATTCTATGTGTCCATTACATTTTGCTATGTTTGATGTTTTTTTTTCAGATTTTTGTCCTGGCTTTTTTAATCGTTTTTAATGCGCTTGTATTTCTCCCTAATATTTTTGGCACGTCTCACATTTAGAATAGACATGTTGTCTCAAAGGGCCCTCACCTGGATGAAAGTTAGGATGTCTACCCACCCACTTATCTACCAACCTACCTAATAATCTTACACAATAAGTGCATTGACAAGGAGGGGAGTTACCATATTGATTTTATGAGGAAGTGCATTTAAAACAAAAACAAAGTTCTCAATTCTCTTCTCCGCTACGTCTTGATATCCCTCATGTTTAAATGCAACGTACACACACATCCCGACACACTGACACGTTGCATGGGCAACATTAAGTAGGTGGAGTTTCAGTGGTGCCACTGCCCTATGAACTCAGCGTCTGAAGTTCGATTCCTGGCCACGGCTGACATCAGTGGCGAATTAAATCTGAGCCGGCCCTGTCCCCTCTGCCCCTGCCCGCCCCCCTAAACGACTGACGAAAAGTGGAGAGGCCTTCATTCAGCAATTAATTGACAATGTCTGTACTGTATGTATATATATATTTTTTTCAATAAGTGCAAATATAATAATTGTTAAAGCCTACATAGTTCATCAGCAGGTGCACAGCAAGTAGGTTGTGGGATTCTTTTAATTCGTCCTCTGCCCAATGGCAGTGTCTTTGGCTCAAATTCCCTCCATCCTGCATGATCTTGAGCTTTCTCCTTCGTTCACTGCAAGGTCTCCTTTCTTGCTTCAAGTCATCAAGCACCATATTTCTTTTGTCTTCCTTATTGGCCTTTCTTTCCCAACATCCGTACTTCCAGAACTTCCTTCATCAAGCTCTCACCTCTGAAAATGTTCCCAATCCGCATACATCATCCGTATTCGACAGTAAGCAATTTCATCATCATCATCATGACGATCATCACGATCCATGGGCAGATAGCCCGCAGTCGGTGTCCACTGCACATTTCGTAAATTGTTTCCACTTTCCTCTCTGTCTTGCGCCAATCTGGCTCAAGTAGTGGCCACGCCTTTCTGGCCCCGATCTCTTGCGATGTCGTCGTCAATACATTCTCCATGAGATCTTCCCCTCTCTCTTCTGGTTCCTTCCATTTCAGCAGTCGGTGCTCGTGCGTTTGTGTCGAGGAGTCTCTCCTGCAGCGTGTGCGAAGCCGCCCAAAGTCCTCCGCCGTGGGAGTCCCCCTAATGCGGCGTACTCTGAATGACTCCGACCGAGATGGCTGACAGGGCGGTGAAACCAACACCACCGTGCGATACCATCAGGTGCGGTGATGCTGCCACGCGCTTCGCTGGCTGCGGCAAGCGGGATCGATCGGTTTGAAGCGATCGGCTAAACGCTGCACAGCCCTTGCATTTGTTACGCGCGGGCATTTTTTTCCCCCGTCTCATTCTTGAAACCTGCGGCCGCCTGCTGCGTCGCCCTCCGATGCCATTGTGCACTTTGAGCGCCACTTGTTATTAGCACGGTTGGCTACGTACGGTGCGAAAGAAGTTCAACATGCATAGCACATTGTTACGTCGCATGAGAAGGAAGAATGAGAGCAACCTTTTCACGATTTGTCGCGATTCATTGAAAAGGTTTTGTTTTCTTGAGGGACGAGTGTACGCATGCGCGTACGTGTCTGTGCATTTTTGTAATCTGTGCTGAATGCACGCACAAACGTGACAATCGCAGGGATTGTTGTGTTTTAGCATGAAGGAAACAAAATTTCATTCATTTCCATGCGTTGATTTGATATTCCCTCCACATTAACATGCAACGAGAACATTAATATTGTTTGGGTACTGATAACAATTGGGAACTGGGAGTTGGATGAACCCACTGGAGACACTTTGTGCATTAACTGGCAATGCTAAATTGCGTAGCCTGCAGCTCGGATTTTAACATTCATCGCTGCGGGCAGGGATTGCACTCTTGCACTGCGCTACAAACCCAACGAAGCCGAGTTAAAGTCCTAGCCATGGCCAACATCAGTGGCGAATGATGCCGATCTGTACTGGAGCGGTGTGGTGAAGTATGGCCCAACAGCTCCCATGACTGATGCAGCATAGGATTGACAATTGGGCTGTTATCATTAGAGTGACATTGGATATTTTGAATACAATTTTTCTGTGAATACATAATTTGACAAACTCTCCCCCCCCCCCCCAAAAAAAAATAATAATAATTATGCACTCAGTGATCATACAATAAAAATGGGCAGGAGTTACATCTCTTACTTGCGGTGAATATACCTGCAGGCTGCTTCAATAAATTGTACGCTATCGGCTTGTATCTGCACCTCATTACTGGTGTGTATTATGGCTAGACAGATGGACCTATGATTAGGTGAGGGTGTAAATTGGTGTCGAGAATAATCTTACTGGAGGCTGGTCTGCGAGGCCCCACAATCCTCTCATCAGGTGCGAAATAATGACGAGACTTCTGTCTCTCCTAAAACCATGGATTACGAGCCTTTTTGACATCCGGCTGCAGCAGGCGATGCCAATGTCGATGAAGAAAATAGATTGATCTTTGGAACTTTGTTACGATTGTTGCTGAGCTCTGCTTGGGCTGGCGGTGTATCCTTTTCAAGCCTCCGCAGACCCGCCGCTGCGCTCTTCAAGCTTTGTTAAAACAAAGAGAGCCCGTGCGTGACAACTCGCTTCATGTGAGACGACACTGCAGGCTGGCTCCAGATGGCGGATGCCTGACACAGCAGCCGTCACTTCCTAGATTCCAGCGGTCGTGTTTTGTTCCGAGGCTAACTTTGGTGGCACACATTGCGGCCTCGCCGTATAAACAAAGTACAGAAGAATGAAAGGGGAAAGGCGCAGCCCTGCAGTGTCTTGCTCACGCCACTTTTGGCGGAAGGGCTCCCGCTCGGAGGGCGATCTAAGAGAGCCCGTTTTGGGGGTGATTTGTTCTACCGTCCCTCGAAAGAGTTGGGAGTGCCCACACGCTACCGCACCACACGAACAACGGCGGAGTACCCATTGATGCTGCTGGGTGGGTCGAGGCGGTGCGGGGATTTACTAATAACAAAAAAGACTCGCGCCGTTGTTTCGACCGCTGGGCGGAAGATTGAACCGTCGACCTCTGGATTGCACGTCCAGCGCGCTAGCCGTGGCACCAAGGCAGCATCCTAAACATACCGGGCATTGATTTTCTTGTTTTCGGACATGAAACGTACGGAGCGCTGCTTCTCGCTCAGCAATGTAAAGTATTTGGCGTTGATGGAGGATCGCGTCATGGTGCCGTCCACTAAAGATGAGGGCGGGGCGAAGGGGGGGGGGTTATCTGTGCAGTAAATTGCTCTGCCTTGAACGAGATCATGATACATGATATCGTGATACTACAGATCGTGATACATGAGATCGTGATACATGATATCGTGATACACCAGATCGTGATACATGAGATCGTGATACATGAGCGATACGATAGCCTTTTTCTGTGGCCTCTGGAGTCTTCACCAAAGACGAAGTCCAACAGCTGCATGATTAATCGGTGCAAATCGTCCAAGTGGATACAAATGTCGATTACAAATTTTGCATTCCGTCATAGAGATGTTTGTTAATGGTAAGCGGTGGCGCGCAGATGATTATCCATTTTTGTAAGAGAGGGAGAATGGAAGGCTCAGAGAGATGTGCTTACTATTTTGGGCTTAATCTGGATTGCGCACGCATCTATCATCACGTTCAATCGAAATGTCTTCAACTGTATGCCACCAACATCCATTTAATTAATGTGGCTGTGTGTACACATACACACCTTATGGAACCTAGCAGAAGCATGGTACGCCTCCATTCAAGCACAATTTAGATTGTCTGTCACGTTCTCCCGTTTGCTGTGTACATCGTCTATATTCAGGGCTTAATTTCTCGCTCAATATTTCCCGGAACCCTGCTAGGCCGGCTTGAAGTCGGGACGTTGGCACCACCTGCACCGACATCGTCAAATTACCAACAAAAAGTGGATCATGCAAATAGCCGTATTCAATTCGCAACATTATTACGTCATCCGCTCCTATAAGCCATCTACAAAAGCTGGCGTCACTCAGCGCTTGGCCACCCTCGAAGTGGCACCGCACTCTGCTATTCTGCCCCGTGGGCTGGACGTTGGCGTGCGGTGCGTCCGCGTTCGTCGCGCGTCTCCGCTCACCGATGAGTGGAACGGAGTCGGACGTGGCCGGCATGATTTCGGCGACCAGGAGCATGAACACGGTCAGCGACAGCAGCACGGTGATGCCTGAACACAGAGGGGCACCGAGCGACAACCGCGGCGAGCGAGGCAAACGCTGAACCCAGATAATGCCGCCCTTTGATTTCTTATCTGTAATGTGCATTTATTCCATACCCTCCCCCCCCGCACGCTCTCCCAGCGGTACGCAGCCTATCTTGCAGAACAACAGCTGCGGCCAATTGAAGGGCGCTCGCAATCGTACCCCAAACAGATGCTGAATGCGGAGATTAAACGAGTTTAAGCAAGAATCTGCTCACAAAAGCCCCAACGGCTTTGACTCCGGATAATTGGCAACTACGTTAGGCTGGACCAAGTGAAGTTTAATTATGCACGCTATGTCTGATGCATGATCTCATTTATCGTCCCTGCCGACATTTGTCTGAGCCAATCTCTCCCAGTTAAGGAAAGCTGCGTGTGACCTTTATCCGATTGCGCAATGCGGGAGAGCGCCGGCATCCTGTGAGCATGTTGCGTGCAGGGTGCATGCAGGGTGTGCGTGCAGAGCAGGAGCACGTTGTGTCTGCAGGGTGTGTGGATTCTGCGTGTGCAAAGAGGGGTGCACAAAATAACCCCCTATCTCCTCGTGGTGCCGGACGGGCAACGCTGTCGTGGACAGTGCTGTGGGGTGGGTGGGCCAATTCCGATTGGCCTTTCCCCTCATGGCGTTTAACCACCACAGCAGCCAAATGGGGGCTCTTGATGGGTGCGAGGGGCTGATAACCCCTCCACCTTCAATTAATTACCACTAAACCACGAATGAAAAATGTAATTAATAAGCTTGTGCCGGAGGCCCTGGGGGGACAGATGTCTATGACTTCTCGTGGCCAAACCCCATTTGGCGGAGCAAGGAGATTGAATTTTCCCCTGGGGGCTCCTCCAGAAACAACAAAAAGCCATTATGGATGGCCATGTGGAATGTTCTAACGCTCACTGCGAAGGAGAGGCTGCCACTCCTCTGTCGGGAGCTGGACCGGTACCGCCTGGATCTCTGTGGTATTCAGGAGGTCCGGTGGACCGGCTCTGGCTCCTGCCACCATGAGGTGTGGACAGTCCTCTACTCGGGGCAGGAGACTACCAAACAACAAGGAGCGGCTCTTCTTCCGAACAAAATAATGAAGGGGGCGTGGGAGCATGGCGGTGAAGTGTGGGAAGCTATAAGCCCCAGGCCACTTTGGGCTCGCCTTCCCATCAACCGAAGGCGAGGAGTGGTGGTCGTGGTTTCTTATGCCCCCACCATAGACGAACATCCGTGGAGGGTTGCAGGCAAGGCCGATGAGTCAGATGCCTTCTATGACCTCCTGTCTCAGGTGCTAGCTAAAGTGGCACCTCGGGATAGAGTCATCTTGTTGGGTGACTTCAATGCCCGAGTTGGTAATGATGCTAGAACCTGGTCTGGAGTGATTGGAAGGCATGGGCCAGATCAGCTCAATAACAATGGTAGGAGGTTGCTAGATTTTTGTGCAGCCTACGGGCTTGGAATTACCAACATGCTGTTTCGGCCATCGGCGCATCCACACAACATCATGGATGGATGCCGTGTCCAAGCAAGAACATCTGCTGGACTACATAGTGACGGAACAGTGGATAAGGGCCCATGTCCTGGACACCAGGACCTACCGTGGAGCTGATCTGCCCTCTGACCATCGACTTGTCATCTGTAAGATGCACCTGCCATTCTTACACTCCGGTGATGGGTGTACACCCAGGACCCCATTCAAATCTAAGGTGGCCTAGTCTCAGCTAGCTGATGAAAGTTGCAAGCTAGAATTTCATCATCGCTTGCGGCTGGGGTTGGCATCATCCCCCACTCCTCCAGATGTTGAGGGTAAATGGGTGAGGTTTAGGACTGTGACTCGGGCAGCTGCAATGGCTGCTATGGGTACATGGTCCAGACCTCCCCAGAGACCCTGCCTGACAGAGGAGGTGTTCAAGCTGGCTGAGAAAAAGCAACAGGCCCACTCTAATCGTCTACAGCATCCCACGTCAGATAATGAGGAGGCTTACCGCAGCCTTCGCTTGGAGGTTCGGAGAGCCATGAGGCGCTGCGAGGATGGGTGGTGGTTGCGGGTTGCTGAGGAGATGGAGTCTGCCTCAATGGCCCTCCATCACAAATCCCTATTTAACTCCATCAAAAAAATAACCTGCAGCGCCACACCTATTACCATCATTAGGGGAAAAAAACGGTGATCTAATCTCCGACCCCCAGGAACAGGTTTGCAGATTTGCTGAGCATTTCTGTGAAGTCCTGGGGGAGGGGAAATCCCTCGACATGGAAAATATTGTGGGACAAAGTGGGGATGACCCTGCTGAGGCTGCGGTACCTCAAATATTGGAAGAAGAAGTCACCCCCTGTGAGTGGCTGGCTGAGGTGCCATCTGTTGAGGAAGTACTAAAGGCGATCCAGAGTCTGAGACTAGGAAAGGCACCGGGAGAGATTATCTCCCAAGCTAAATGCTGAGGAAGGGTGGCGTTTGTGCACAGACTGCCCTTCATGACATCATAACAACAGTCTGGACCACTGGACAGGTTCCGCAGGATTGGAAGGATGCCCTTGTGGTCCCGCTCTCTAAGAAGGGGGACCGCACAGACTGTAATAACTACAGGGGCACCTCACTCATCAGTGTGCCGGGAAAGGTCCTGGCAAGGATTATTCAACATCGCCTTACCAGGCACACTGAGGAGAGGCTTGCGGAGCCCCAATGTGGTTTCAGGAAAAGGTGGTCCTGCACAGATGCCATATTTTCTGTCCGTTTGTTACAGCAGAGGTGTAGGGAATTCCAACAAGACCTACATCTCTGCTTTATGGACATGGTCAAGGCCTATGACACCATCAGTAGGCCTGGGCTCTGGGTTGTTCTTCGTGCTTTCGGAGTCCTTGACCCTCTTCTCACGATCATTAAGGACCTTCATGATGGTGAGTGGGCCCGGGTAAAACTACGTGGCCGGGAGTCGGAGCCATTCCCTGTTCACCTTGGGGTGCGACAGGGATGTCCTCTGGCTCCAACATTACTTAACATCTTTTTCGACCACGTAGTTCGTGAAGCCTTTGATGGCTGTACCAGAGGAATTCCATCTGGTACAGATACAATGGGAGGCTGATCGATGCCCAGGTGCGGTCAAGGGATGGCTCCCTATTGGTCAACCACGTTATGTATGCCGATGATCTGGTAATTGCCACTCACTCAGAGGAGGAGTTGGAGGCGCTGCTTCTGAAACTGGAGTGTGCCACTAAGAGGTGGGGCCTTACCATCAGCCCCACCAAAACTAAGCACCTGCCTGGGTATTTTGTACCATTGGGCACTCCACCCCCACAACTCCCATTCGGTGAGGGGGCAGTTGTGGAGAGAGTGGAGAGTTTCCCATACCTGGGCAGTGTGCTCATCACCAGCTCTGATTTGACAGCAGAGGTCTCACTCCAAATGCGTCGAGCGGCATTATATTTTCATCGGTTGCGTAACGCTGTGTGGAAGCTACCTGGTCTGTCGCTCCGCACGAAGCTTAAAGTCTTCTCGGCCATGGTCATTCCCTCCCTTCTCTACCCTTGCGAAACGTGCACCCCCCTAATGGAGCATCTTCGCCGACTGGAAACATTTAGGCTGGCCTGCCTACGATCCATCCTGGGTTTAATCAGGCTGGATTGTGTGAGGAGCTCACAAATCTTTGAAAGATCTGGGCAAAGTCCCATCGGTGAGCTCCTCCGGAAGGCAAGGCTGCGTTGGCTGGCTCATGTAGCCCGCATGCCCAGTCACCGCATGCCTAAACAGCTTTTGTTTGGCCGGATAGAGGGGGCTAAACGGGCGCGGCACGGGCTAGAGAATAGATGGAGTGATGTGGTACAGGAAGACGTGGAGCTGAGTGGACTTGCCGATGACTGGTACCAGCGGTGTCAAGATCGGCCTCTGTGGAGGAGGCTCGTGAAGGACGCTACTGGGCAGTTGGAGGCAGTTGCCCTCCAACAACAACGGAGGGTGGAGGAGCGACGCTCGCAACAATGATCGGAGCGCCGGGTGGCTAAAGCACAGCAGGTTGGCACAGTAGAGGGCACAGGTGGTGCATCAGCCAGTCATCTCAGTCAGTTGACCCGTGGCACCTGGGTCTGCCCCGTGATCTCCTGCCAGCGGGCGTTCAACACTTCACGTGGTCTCAAGGTGCACATAGCCTGGCACAAGCGTCGTGGTGACGTCACCGCCACTTAGTGGCGAATGGCGGTTTTTGTTGTTGTTGCGCTCGCTTGGTGTGCATGGTGTGTGTGTGTGAAGGCTGCGTGTGTTCTGTGTGTGTGCAAGTGGGAGGGGGGGGGGCGTGGCGCGCGCGCTGCGTGTGCAGGAGGACGCACCAAGCGAGATCTTCTCCCCGGAGTCGGCGGGCAGCAGGAATACGAGCAGGGACAGCGCCGAGATGAGCACGCACGGCACAAGCAGGTTGAGGCCATAGTAGAGGGTGCGCCGGCGGATGGTCAGCGTGTACGTCACGTCGGGGTATGGCTCTTGGCAGCAGTCGTAGTACAGCTCATTCCTCTTGCCTGGGATCTCTGCGTTGCGAGATGTAACGATGATGACAATGACGACGGTGATTACGATTGCTGCTTCAATTGAGCTGAACCAAGATGAAGGTATCATCACGGACGGAGTCTTTGCTGCCACCTGTATTGACAACCACAATGCTAAATCCTATGTGAACATATTATCCGGTGATGCTGTGTTTGCAGTGGTGCACAATAACATGAACACTAGCACTCAGCACATTTGTCAATAACGCTGCCTTAAAAAAAAAATGTATTCATTTAAACAGTGACGTTCATAGAAGGGCTATTGCCCGAAGCGTCAACGATTTTATATATTCATTTCCTCTGAATGCATTGTCATCAGCGCCACCCAGAAGGTGGAGGTTCAAAAGGGCAATTTTCCCCGGGCCTCACAGAGGATGGATGATGGGGCCCCACCAGGCATTTTGGCTCATGCCTGCAGCCCTGCTGGGCTTCCAGGCACCTCCGATTACCAACATCACAAAGCGGTCCCTTGCTGTCTGTAAAATAACTCCCCAGAGAATATTTAGTCATCATTTTAGGATGATGAAAAAAAAAACTATTTCGGTTGTACTGCGACAACAATGCGTTAAACGACTTCATTATTCAGTTAAAAAAAATAAGCAATAATAATTTGCATTCTTCCACTTTGCAGTGAATTTGGCGCGAAATAATCCGTCACAATGAGCCAGGTGGCATTTCGCATCCGTGCCGCAAGAATTGCAAAAATAAAAATCCCACACGAACAAAAGAGAGCCCCCGCGGATTGAGAGGTAAATGCTCTCTGCCAGAACAATAGGGCCCTGAGACAAAGGGCTCACGGAGATCATCTATTGTGGAGGGCGCGAGTGGAAGTCGGACGCTCTACCCTCCCTGCCGTCCCCATCTGCCTTGCTCACTGTGCCATGCCAGAACCGATTAAAGCATTCGCTTGGCAATACCAATGAAGCAGCATGCCTAATGAGCTCTGTCCCTTTACATTAATTCTTACTGCATTGACTCAATTTCTTCTTTCCAAGAACAAAACTAATCTCAATCCAGTGATTAATGGTGTGGCCTTGGTATATCGGTCAAATGTGCGACTGGGGTGCCTTGCTAAAGACGTTCCCATTGGACTGTACTGCTCTTCCCATCGCCACGAAGCATTAATGCACTATTGATCTCTCTACCCCTCGGTAGATTTGGCGTGGAATTCGTCATCAGCGTTGCATATGCTTGAACTACAATGACGTGGGTACAGAAAGAGGAGCACGCCGTTTGGGGCACAAGCACAGGTGGATGGAATCATTCGAACTGTTGAGCTGGGTTGAGTGAGCTTGGGCAGGATTCGCCGTCAGAAGTGATGACGGCTGATCACTTCTGGAACACTGACGCCGAGCGGCAGTCGCGAAGTTAACGAATCCAAGAGGACGTCCACCGAGCAGGTGGAGCGACGAAATCGGTTTGCGTGCCAGGCGCTGGGTGAACGGTTACATCGCAGGATCGTCGCGGTTGGCGGCGTCTGGGAGAGGCCTTCATCCAGCAGTGGATTGACCAAGGGTGATGATGGCGGCGACGATGTATATTTGCTCACGAAGGGAGAAAGTGTCTCTGTATGTCCGATTTCATTTGGGTTGGCCAGACGCTCGCCACTAAAAAGGTTCCAGATTTCCAATACTTCGAATATTTAACGCGTAAATTACACCAGAACAGGGGAAACGTACGGTTGTGGAATTTATTGATGGAATATTTTTTGTTGGGGCATTGCACAGCCATCCATCTTCCTGACGCCAGGCGAGGCACAATGAAATCAGGGAAGGTTTTTTTTTTTTCAGAATGCACGGGATGATGCGGCAGCAGTGAACATTTATAGAAATGTGTGTCCCGTGAGCACCTGGGAAGGAGAAGTTCACAAGCAGCGGCACGTTGCTCCATATCAGCTGGAAGCTTCCCCCCCCCCCCCCACCACCCCTTCCTACGAGCACCTCGCTTCTGCGCAATGTATGACACTTTACACAAACAGTAATGATGAATGGCAATGTAATCGCAGCTTTGTTTACCCAGGAAATCGTAACTCAGCATTTTTCAATCCAGGCCGCCCATAAGTTAATATTTGTTGCTCGTGTGCGGCGCGTGCTCGTAGCAAAAACCAAAAACTCGGCGTTCAATACTCCGTGAAGGTGAAGCTAAAGTTGCAGCCCTGCAATGCGTTACTGCTGGCAGAGAGGCCTCCACGAGAGGGTTTTTGTCCTACTCTTCCACGTTCGTCAAATCTGTAAAGGACGAGTAAAATCTCATCGTAGCGAAAAGAAACTTGTGCGTGCCGGAAAAGCAGGAGTTTCAAACATCACTCAAAACTGTGCAAAAAAGCACACAGCCAACTGTCCGTGTGCAACGTCCATTGGCATTTCCTGAAGAAGTGCATTCTCGCCTTCCACTTTGGCCAGATGTCTTCGAAGAGGTGGGAGCACCCAGAATTTACCCCACCACGCGCAACGTGTCTATCAACAAACTCTCCCATTACCCATTGAGTTTGGCGGGTGGACAGAGGCAGGGGGAATTTAAGAAACTTGCAATATTGCTTCAGCTGCCGCACCAGCAGATCAACTGCACGTACAAAGTGCTAACCATTACAGGAGAGCAGCACCCTATTACAATAATAATAATAATAATTTAATAAAGGCTTTGTTAACCCCATACATTTTTTACTCAGTCCCAGGGTTCATTTTTCAATCTCGGTAGCCCATAGATTAATAGTGATTTTTTTTGTATGTCCGCGTGTTACCCTTGCTTGTGAAATATCCGCGTTAATGCCCCATAGACTGCGTGCAAATTAACGCGGTCGAATTGTGTATCGCAACGCCGCCCGACTAGTCAGAGTACTAATACGGGTCTGAACAGTGGCAACTGAAGACCTCATCAGGGCCAACGCCGTTGACGCCACCACACCTCCCTGGTGCACTCCGCCCTCCTCCCGGCCCGACAGCGCCTGCTTGCACAGCAGACACACGACCTGCAGGACCTGCTCTGATAGTCTCCCACCATCTGGTGCCCTGTTCTTCCCCGCTTGGTTGCCCGGACTCCTTTGGAGGCCACTCCAATGCTCGTCTTGGCAACCGGCGCTAACCCTCTGCCATCCTGCACACGCGTCCCCATGACCGTGATCACATCAACACATCACACCTGGACAGCGTCATCATTTCGGGACCACCGTCGCAGAGACATATTCCGCGGCACTGCCTATCCATGACAGCTCGGCCACCAGAGACAAAGATCCTCTCCCGTATAGCCTGAACAGACTATTGGGGCAAGTGCTGTTAGCGGCCACCGCACGCACACACACATGCACACACGGCCACCCCCGGCGAGCAACGTACCCACGAGGTCCCACTCCCCGTTGGCGATGTAGCCCGACGTGTCGGCCTCCAGCATCTGCAGGTCAATGAGCCAACCGTCGTGCGTCCACGAGCCGAACTTGAGGTCACACTTCTGCACGTCGAATGGGAACCAGCGAACGTCGATGTAGCACGTGCTCTTCAGCATTCCTGTCTCGCGGAACGCACGGGGGGGGGGGGGGGCGGGGAGTTGTGGGTGGGGGGCAATGGGTGAGAGGCCGAGGCAGCGATAGTGCGGCTCTCATCTCGGAGGCGACCGGTAATTTAGCACTTAAATCAATACAACCGCTGCCACCTCCAGCAGCCTATTTCTGAACCCCTGGGTTTTAACCGTTCACGCCGGTTTGCCATTCATGCCGGCCGTGTCCGTACGAGTATTATCGGCGCGGAGACAAATCTCTAAACTGGTTTGAATCAATCAGGAATAGTTCAACTTCTGGATGATTGTTTTTTGCAAGTATTTTTTTTTGCAGAAAAGTGGGTTGTTTTTTTTACAGAAATGTATTTTGACGACTATCATTTGATAATTATGCAAATTATACATTCTTATTTCCCGTTGGGTGTGGTTTTGGATTTCTGTGGCACACAAAATAGCGCCAAGGATGTTTAACTTACGCACCTCCAGTCAACGATTACATTGCAAGTTCACCGCAAAACTGGAAAAATATTGACGCGCTTCTCCCATTATTGCAAAAAATATATATTTATGCTACCATTGTCAGTGGTGTTCAAAATAAACCGTTAACATTTTTGCGATGGCAATTTCCAGTCGAGTGGCCTTTTCTTCAGAAACTTGACGGCAGCAAAACTCCATATTATTGTCGGATTATGTTAATTTTTTTAGCTTTAGCAGGTCCTCATAGTCAGACCTTACCCAGGAAAGAACGGTGGGCAACAGGAGACAACGAGGATGAAACCCTCACATTAAACATCTTGGCGGCTGCCTATTGATTTGGGGGGGGGGGGGGTGAAAGACATAAAACTACAGCAAACCAAAGCCACGGCACGACCCAGGGACCCATGAAATTCTGAAACAGGGAGATAAGCGCAGTAACATGGGGGAAGGTTTGATAAAGATTTATTTGCTTTCTTGCAGAGCTGGTATGGAGTTAAAGGTTAAAGGAAAAATCCAGGGCACAAATCAAGTGGTAGATTTTATTTGGTATTAAGGCTGAGCCAGTAGTCATCATTGTCTTTGCAAACACAAGCCAGATAAATCTTTACCAAAGGGTGCCACGTGTGGCGATAGATTTATGACCGAATTTGTTAGGACGGTGCAAATGGTTGTTTATTTAGATATTTAATTCCGATTTGGTCGCGAACACAACCGGCCTTTTAAGGGATCACATTCGCTTGCAATTTTCAGAATTACATTTTTTCACCCTTATAAACCACTTAAGGTTTTAGCATTAAAGCCACCAATTGACCAGTTTGAAAAAAATTACACACCGTTATGTATTTGATTTTATTCCTCTTATCCCTTAATTGTTGGATATCTAATAATAATTGCACAAACTTCAAGAGCGAATGTGAGCGTTGTGCAGTAATCACGCCGAATCTTCCTCCTCCTCCTCCTGTGATAATAATCCACAAAATAATGGCGTGAAATGTTCCCTTATATGCCTCCCGCAGTGGGTGCCCTTTGGAAAAAAATAATAATTTACATTTAGCACATTTACATAATAGCGATACATCACGCAGACATCGCTTAATGTTACATTCCAACGCACAACATGTTTACATGAATTCGTACCCGTTCACCTCGATTGTAAATTGACTTTTGGACGAACCAATTCCTTCCAGTACTGCCAAACGAAATTAACTTTCCACTTAACAACACCGCTGGATAGGCATTAAATATAGAAATTAATTTGCAGCGTGTTTGAAAATCAACTTTCTCCGCAACGCGCTGGAAAAATACGGCACGTAAAGAGCGCACGTGCGTGTGTGTGCTCACGTGTAACAAACAGTGATTTGTACATGTAATTATAATTCCGCAATTGCTTGCATTTCCTATTTGAGCTATACAAATGATTTTATCCTGTGGGCCCCTTGAGCTATCATCACCAGTTTTGCACGTAGTTCGACGGGCAGACTCGTGAAAGGTTGCAATGATTTCTGAGTTGTTTTTTTTTTTCCTGTACTCTGGCCACCTTCTCATCTCGTTATGAATAAGTAAATAGAAGCCCCCCGTTCATTTGCACCTCATCGCCTTCCAACCTATGCACCCTTTGGGAGCGAATTTTTTTTTTAAGGAAGGCCGTTTGTGAGTCCGTCAGTAGATGAGCTTTAGGATTTATGAAAAAACCAGTACTGTATCATCTTCGTCATCGTCATCATCGTCGTCAAAACCACCAGCAGTGGATAACAACAGCATGGGGAGGCTTCAATCCAGCAGTGGGTAGACAATGGCTGCTGCTACTGATGATGTTAAAAATGATGACAGTTCAACACTGTCATCATTATCAACATCAGCAACAGCAGCAACAACAGTTGTCTATTGCCTGCTGGATGGAGGTCGCCCTGCTGTTCCACAATGCAGCTCACAGCGGTTCCTCAGCTCCATCACCGCCGTGGTCGTAATCTCGGTCGCGTTCGCTCCTCGGATGTATGGACGTATCGTTTGGGCTTTGGTGAATTAAATGAAATGTAAAGAACAAAAAAACCGACGGAAATTTGTATTCCCCCACGTTCAAAGTCAAAGTCAAAGTAAAAAAACCTGTTAAAACGCATGTTTGTTGTTGTTGTTGGCTGCGTGATAAGCGGATCGCGAGCACATTGCATACGCGAGTGTAAGAGAGATAGGACCCACCTGGGGGTAGGTGCTGGCAGTTCCCCGTGTAGTTCACAAGCACGTTCGTGTGAAATGTGGCGTCAAATCTCTCGTCGGCACTGCACGGCGCCGACATGGAAAATTAGCCAGACATCAACAACAAAAACCGTCCACGCATACAGCCAGACAGGCAAGTGCATGCTGGAATTAAGCATTGCGCTACATCCTCCAAAGAACAAAGTGCTTTCTGCCGCTTTAATTCCATGCAAAAAGGGCATGCACTTCGTGGGATACTGCGAACAGATTGGCTCAGATGTAGATTGACTTCAAAAGCACCTTGCATCTCTGTGATACAGAAACAATACTGCTCACCTCCGACTAATTATTTTAGATATACTCAGGGCAAGTACCAGCAAATTCTGTCACGCAAAAGCCACACACCGGAGACCCTTACCACAAGGTAGAGGACACACAGGGGTGAAGGCCACACTTTGGAATGTGAGGCTCTCCATGCGAGCAAATGGTTCGCGGTTTTAATTGTTCCGGATTATGGTGCCCCAGATAACGGGAGTCACGGACAAGAGGAGTTCTACCGACAACTATAAATACGTGACACCTACGCAACCACTGTACTGCCTCAGTACTTGGCCCACCGTCAGGGCACCACTGTGTATTTCAAGGGTTTCATCAGCACAACCGGCACTTGTGACCCCTGTTGAGGGGTGAAAAACACGGACTCGAAATCACCACAAAATCTTGTACAGAATTGAGCGAGCGTTTGTTTAGTCACGCCCGCGACACCTACTCAGCGGCCGTGGGTGTCCCCCTGTCCCGGACACCTCCTTCTCACAAGGATCCTCATCGCATTGCCATGGGGGATGGGTCAAAATGTCAGAGCCGCAAGAAGTGTCAGTCTTGGGCGGCGGGGGAGGGTGTGCGGAAGGGTGTAACGTCTACGACAAGTAATAGCAGAACTGTTCCACGGTGGCTAGGAGATGTTCACTTCATCGCCTGGTATACAGGAGGTCGTGGGTGCGATCCCGACACTGACGCCTATATCATATTCTCCGCGTGGTCACGTGTATTTTTTTCTTCAGGTCCTCTGTTTTTTCCCTCCACATTTAAAATCAACAACACGCGTTTATAGTATTTGGCTGCTATAGATTTCCACTTAAATCGCCACTTCGTTGAGCTTTCATGTTGTGGCCAGGTAGCTTCTGAAAAAGAGCAATAGCTCAGTGGGCCTTACCTGGTAAAAGAAAAATAGTTTAGTGTATAGTGTATCTTCTCCTCTTTCACGAATTTGCACTTACCAGCGTGGTGAAGTATGGTCAGGCAATTTCTGTATCCGACATAAGGCCTTTACCCACGATCAAATTTGCAAAGTGTTGTCAATTATGATTGATATAATGTTATTTATACAGTAGTTGTTATTTGTGGCATTTACTAAGCTGTAACCATATCATTATTAAATTAGTATTATTATTCTCAGGGAGTGTAAAGTGTAATCTTTAGCCAATCTCTCTGCCTCACTCTGGCTTCTCTCCTCTGAAGAAGGACCATTACATGAAACGTCTGCCAATTAAATGTTTTCACGTTGTATGGCAGCATCAATGGTGACTTTAACGCAAGGTAGGTAAAAGTTCTGGAGGCCAGACGATGATTGGTAAACATGGCATTTGTTTTGACTTAAAGCTTTCGTGACTGCAGGGATTCATCTTCTTGGTTCTTTCGGTAAAGTCACGTAGAATGGAAATAAAATAGTGAAACATAATAAAATAAAATTCTCGCGACGTTTCGGCCACAACACAATGAGTTTACATATGTAAACATAGGAAGGAGTTTACATATGTAACTCCTTTCTGTTTACATATGTAACTCCTTCCTACATATGTAAACTCCTTCGTCAAGGCGCTCTGCTCCTCCCACCCAGCTTAAAAGACGCTACCAAACTTGGCAGTGTTCACTGAAGCGCTGTTTTCCCCACAGGTCTGTTTCTTCACCTGAGGAAGGCTACTTGTGTTGGGGCCGAAACGTCGTCAGAATTTCATTTTATTATGTTTTATTTTTATTATTTTATTTCCATTCTACGTGACTTTAGCAAAAGAACCAATAAAGCCACTGAGATATAAAAAAAAATACAAATATCACATCAGATGACGATTGCTTACGTTGCGATCAAAACATCGTGATATTTGTATTCTTTTTTTCCATCTACGTGGCTTTACCGAAAGACCCAAAGAATATGGCATTTGTTAATTACGAGTTAACTTTTGTTTATGGAATCGACGCAGTAGGGTTAATAGGTGATTGGCTTCAGCGTGTCGCGAGGTTAGCAAGGGAGTGAACTCTTCGTAGTAAGCGTAGCGAGAACAGCCAACGTGGTCCCAGACACCTCAACACTCGTGAGGAAAGTAACACACATTCTGAAGCTCCCTGCACGGAAATATGTAAAATGTAAGTATCTGCGGTTCAAGTTAATCCTTCTGAGGCCCCTTCCCAGCTGCAAATGCTACGTAAAATATTGGAGTCGCGGATTTTTTGGCTTTAGATTGATTTTCTGTAGATCCATGTAGTTTTGGGATCTGTCTATACAACTACTTCAGGGGAAATATGTAATCCTTGTATGTAGTCACGTGTGTGCAGTTCTGCTTATACTAGGGCAGTTTTGAGAGTTATTAGACTTTGTAGATGTTGGTTTGGCTTTTTAAATTAATTTTCCTTTGCACGGAGAATACAATAAACTTCACAGTCGTATGTGAACAAAGGTGTAGAATGCATTAGTGATGTCAAGAAATGCGTTGTTTGAAGGGAGCACATTTCAGGGCATGTAATATTACCTGATTTTGTAAAACAACCACAACAATATAACAAGTATTCATACTTCCATGCTGGAGGGAATTAGTTTTTTTGTTACCACAATGAAACTAATTATATCTGGTGATGCTGCTGCTGCGTTGGCGGTGGCACGCAAGCACAAACAACAACCAAAAAACTCACCACATGTGACAATAGCATTGCCAAAAAAGAAGTACAGTTTGGGCAACGCTTTAGGCAATGGTTGTAGGCAATGACCCTTTAATGGCCCTTCAGTGGCCCTTCAATGGCCCTTCAATGGCCCTTCAGTGGCCTTTCTATGGCCCTTCTATGGGCCTTCTTCATAGCACATGGAGAGGCCATAGATGTAGAGTGAATAGCATTTTGAAAATGCCAACACTTATCCCACTCCACCTATCTGGCCACTCTCAATGTGCTATGAATAAGGGTCGTTGCCCAAAACGTCGCACAGTCTACGCTTGTTTCCTTTAGGGCAGCTGTTATTGACAAATGTGTTGGGGCTGCTGCCACCTATTTGTCCAAATAACAATGCTTTTTTTACGACCAAACAGATGCACAAATGCAACGTGCGCACGTGTACTGCCAAATATACTGCAATATTTGCCTCCAGGTTCAAAATGACAATAACGCTGCAGCCATGCAAAGCTTTCATCATAGAATATATAGAAACCATTTTTTGTTCTGATTGAAACGCGGAGTTCTAAAACTATAAAACCCAATGCTTAGAAAGAAAAGTGTTATAATTCTACTGACAAGAGCCCTTTTTTTGTTGTTGATTGAACCTATTCATTAGCATGTCTGGTGAAGCACTCTGGATTAGTAACCATGTCTACCTGAGAGAGCTCTAAATATTCACCTTTGTCAAAACCCCTCAACATTTTTTTTTAAATCAGCTAGCATATCTGCGGGCTCGTGCCAATTGACAAACGCGAATGTTTTTAACAATGGGGCCATTCTGTGGAATTCAGAAAAAGTATAGCCAAATGCATTGGTAATCCGTTTGGCATAATAATTATTATAATCTGTTACACTCATATGACTCTTCCCTGCACAATCCCCTCCCCCCTCCATTGCATTTTGAAGACATTTTTTTTATTATCTGCCGAGGTACGGATGTTTTTTTTTTATTTCCCAGCTATCAATTTTGTCAAATTAGAAAAATTGCTTCGAGTCGTTTATCAAGCTTATCCCACGCTTGACTTGTAATGTTGGGGAATTATCATTTAATGAAAAGTTTAGTCCATAATGAGTGTTACTCCGTTTCGAAATACTTCACCCTGGCCGTAATTGCTGCGAAATTAAGGTTTCATTTTTAACAGCAAACCTCACAATCTGGCTGGTACATTCCAGAACGTCACTGCGTTGACACTTAATGGCTCACGCTTGTGAATGCAGATGGGCACCGTTACTTTCCTAAGCTTCATTCAATTCCTTGTCACTCTCCACGAATGATAGCGTGATCAAGACTAAAACTCGGGTGGCTGCGTTTGTAGCACGGTGCCGTTTAACCACCGTGTCACCACTCCACATTTTTAAGTCACATACACAGGCATGCCAGAAGACATACGCAGGACATATCAGAAAAGTGGTCAAACATAACATAAATGTCGTGGGGTATCCAACCATACGTTGATTGAAATTGGGGGTGCTGCGGTAGGGAGATGTTAACTCCCTCGCCTGGTATGTAGGAAGTCGTGGGTTTGATCCCGACCCTGACGCCTGCTGTATATTTGGAGTTTTGTATGTTCTCTCTCCCCGTGGTGGCGTAGATTTTTCTCCGGGTCCTCCGGTTTTTCCCTCCACATTTAGAAAGATTTGTTTCGAGTATTTCGCTGCTATACATTTCCACACGATAAGCCACTTCGTTGAGCTATCATTTGTGGCCAGGTCACTTCTGAATAAGAGCTGCATAGCTCAATGGGCATTACCTCGCAAAATAAAAATAAAATAAAAGAGTTTTTAGTTTAGATTTAGATCCTTATGCTCGCGACACATTCATTAAATTGTCTGTGTGAGCACACATTCTTTACGAGCAATGCACACCGTGGTATGCAAAATTATATGTCACAGGTAATATTTGTGGAGAGAAAAAAGAGCTGAACACGTTGGACTGAATTGAATCAGAAGCGATACAAATGAGATGGTATAAAGAGACAAAAAGGAATTGGACGATGACCCTAAATCGTTGCCATTCATCAAAGCTCCAGGTGGTGAATTCTTACGTAGCTGACACGTGCTTAACTTTCCTCAAACAAACTTAACGCTCCGCGACCAACGCAGAGTTTTTGTTCTTACAGGGTTTAATATTTAATATACTTATAATATTAAAAAGGGAACATTGAGATCATGACTAAGGTACACTGTACATTCTCTACTCATAATAGTGAATTCGGGTCGTTCAGCTTGCATTAAAAACGTGATTGATACATATATACCACATTTTGTCGTAGCCCGGACGTAATAATACGAACAATAACGGGTCCAGCAAATAACGTTGCTTGCGCACTTCGATACGGCCCGCTGGCCCGCACCCCCCCCCCCTCCATCCCTCGAGCACCACGCCGTGGAACCATGAACGATCTGCCTCCAGAGTTCCTTCATCCCCCCCCCCCCAAGGCATTCCTGCTGGACCCAATACTCCCAAGGAGACGAGGAAAGGCTCAAAGTGACGGCTATTCTGGCTGTCAGAACCCATATTGTACCAACGAACACACACGGGGGGGGGATATATAGGGAACATATATATGTGGAGCACGATATTGGGTTTCCCGTGAAATTCGGGAGATTGCTACGGACCACAAATATAACGCACGACTGAGGAGAGAGGGAGAGAATGGCATTTTGTCACTTTGCAAAGTGTACGTTTCTTGAATTCCCCCCTATTAATTACATTTCATGCCATTATAGGGCTGAAACAAATGCCCACAGTGAATCAAATTTCACATTTCGAGAGAACGTGAGGTACGTGTTATGGAATGCATGAGGAAGTCGCATTAATATTTGACTGCCCGGTGCAACTTAATGATTTGGGATTTTTGCACACAGCCTTTTTATAAGGTGTTTTTTTTTTCAGGAAGATTTTTGCTGTTTTTTTTCCTGGATCTTTCTGTTGCGTGTCGTCATTTTAAGATGTTCTGTGTTGATGTTTTTGTTTGTTGCGGTTTAAGAACCACATGGCTCACAGGGCTATACCTAATAAAATAAAACTTGAAACCTGAAAACTTCAATTTAGCAAGGTCATTGGGTTTGTGTGTTGGTTTGTGTGTGTACTTATTCAGACCCTAACAAAACGTTCTCAAACCCATTTCACAAAACCGTCTTCAGATACAGACACGGCAAGTAACGCTTGCACCTCCAGCACTTTGGAGGAGAAAATCGTGTTCCACTTAAAGAAAAAAGTACGAACCTTCTTTTAAAAAAAATTCTAACTTTTAATTTAAGCAGTTACATTTTCACGCCCTTCCTTTACATAGGCAGTGCGCCATCAGGCGCACTCATCTCAGCCAAAGTCACTGGACACGCACAACGGCTGGTCTCTTGCAACATGTGATCACTGCCCAAGAGTTCGTTAGATCAATTAACATTTTACTCTGTGAGCGAACAAACTCCAGTCCAGGTTTTTTTTTTTCCAAGATTCATGCAACGTGTGCATTTCATTTCGTTGAAACTGAAAAACCACCGGTTTTGTTCGAATCTTTCTTCCCACCGAAAGCCACGCAGGAACAAATTATGTCCCACTGCCCACCAAGATCTTGGTGGAGGTCCACCTCCCCGTGCATTACCACTCAATCACTCGCTCACCGTCTTGGCATTCTAAGATTTCGTCCAAAGACCTTGCGTGTTGTCGCCAGCAGCTGGAGGGAAAACCCGTTGCAGAATTCCATATCTGATGCAGTGAGCCTGCGAGGGGCCTGGTCGTGTAGCACGCTCAAACATTGCTTCTGATGCTTTTAACTGCTCGCTGCACACCTTAATAATGATAATAAGGCATCACAATGCCAGCAAGCGAAACTACGCCCGGGGAAAATCTCTTTCCACCTCACTGTTGCTCCAGCTCGCTGCATTCTTGCCTAGCGCATTGCCAGCCTCCCTGGATAATTCCTCAATTTTTTTGGTCATATTAGCCACAACTGATGGGGTTTGCAATTGTTTTTTGACCATATTTACGGTCTGCCACAATTCCACGGAGATTTACTCCGCTGCCAGCTGTAACAATGCCAATACCGATCCCAAGTCACGTTCATGCTGACCGCATTAAAGATATCTTATCCTTCATGTGTGCTCTACATCATTCAGTGTTCCGGGAAATGTATACACGCAGCCCACTGCTGACTTCTGTTGCGAGAGGGCTCCATTCAGCCGGCTATGCATTTTTCCCCAAAGAAAATACAAATACGTATATATTAATTTTTGCAATCGGAATTGCATGATCTTGTGTTTTTTTTCTTACATTGTTCATTATGTGTCACCTGATGCAGCAATTACTCGGTGCACTAACACATGACCGTGCATTGTCTTGCCTGTTGTACAGCAGGATGTCAGGCGTCCAGATCTGATGGGGTTGAAAGCGTAGGTTTTTCACCCCCGGGTGTTCACTGTAGTTCCAATGGAGGTAATGATCCTTCCAGAACTGGAGGAAGGCGAGCGAGAAGACGCGACATGTTTAGCAGAGCTAGCGGCACAGCGGAACCCTCAAAGCCCGTTCTGGTGAGCGCTTGTGCCACACGGCGGTTACCGGGCTCGTAAATCCTAGCATCACCACACCGCAACCACACTGCACCGCGCAACCATTTGTACGGGGCTTGATTTCTCATGGATTGTTTTCTTGAGGACACCAACCTCCAAACCTAAACCCTCCCTGCCCCCCCCCCGCCACCCCCCCACCCCAACCCACCACCCCAACCCCCTTCAAATATCCCCTTCCCAATTCTCCTTCCCGTGGGTAAATATTTTCCAGAGCTCAGCCCCGGATAGCTCCAGCTGAAATCTACGTGTACGTTGAACTTCTTTCGCACCGTACGCAGCTAACCATGCTAATCGGAGGTGCAGGGGAATCGGAGGTGCGGGTAACCCGTTAAAAACGTGCCCTGTGACAGTATGAAAACAAACAATCCTGACGTAAATAAATGGAACAATTAGCCTGCCCATGAAAAAAAAACGTAATTCCTCAAAGACCAAATTACCACCAATTTGAAATTTCCGCACGTCTGATAATTATTGCCCGTGAAAACGTGTCACTTGCCGAATTAAAAAAAAATGGCGCGCAAATGCGCGCAATTCTCGCGCTAACATGTAAAAAAAGTTAAGAGAGTGCTTAACAAGCAACGTTTTAGCGCCACTTTATAGATGAGAGAACTCACAAATTGCAGCCAGACGTTTGTGGTTAGTACTTGGTTCTTCTCATCCTGCGGAGGGGACACAGAGCAAGCTGTTCAGAGGTCACATCGTACGACTCACCTGTGCACCATGACGCTTGGATTGCAAATGCCACGGTGGGGGCACAGGACCGCAGACACATTTGAGACAAGTCATGGTTATTCGCTAGGACGGCCCTTCAATCGTTCTCCAATGACCAGATCCTTATGTAGAAATATATATAATCTATATATAATTACCGTATTGTGTGGATTTATAAGAGCCTCGGGAAAGTAAGATGCACCACAAACGTATGCTTTACGATACATAAGTGCGTCTCGTTATCCAGAGAATACGTTACATATAAAAGTAAATTAAATGTACACTTTGCAATTAAGTTAAGGGCAGGCCGCTCTCTAAACTGAAAATGTCTGAGAAATTATGCATTTAATTATTCGTAAATCGAATTACAATTAAGTTGTATACATTTTTTTTACGTACGAATTACCGCCCGCAATTTCTTTTTGGTAATGTTTACTTTTGGGCGGGAGGGGGGGGGGAAATGTAATAAATAACATACATAATGAATAATGCAGACATCCTGCGCGTATTCAGCCGCAGAATAATCACGCGCTGGGTGAAGATGACAGGTGAACGAGTGCTCGGTGAACGTTACGTACGTACGCATGTTGAACTTATTTCTCACGGCACATAGCCAACCGTGCTAATCAGAGGCTCGGTGGGTTCCATTATTGCCCTCAATGGTGCTGGGCAGGGCCCGGATAAGGCAACCCAAAAAAAAAGGTGCAATTAAAGTTCGCACATTACAGCTGAGTTCCCATCAGGTGTACTCCGTAAATCGCCACGTAATTGACCATTAATATGCGGCGCAGATGTGCCACGGCACCACTCGCGCTCCAAAGGCCCCGATGAACCGCTCGCACTCGAATTATGGGAGGGGAGGGAATGAGAGGATTGCGCAATGAGGCAAGGAGCCGTAACCTAGAGGTCAACTCACCCCCCCCCCCTTCAACCATCAACTCTCTACCCCCCCCCCTTCCACCAAAGACAAAGATCCCAAGTATAGCCTTAACAGACCGTTGGGGCAAGTGCTGTCAGCGAACACCTATGAAGGCCAGCACAGCACACGAGGGGGAGGATGGCGAGCACCACGCCCGACCACCTTTGTCTCCCCAGTGGCGATGTTTACACACCGCACCAGGTACTCATTTGAGGCTGAGTCGAGCAAGGGGAGGCTCAGGACCGGTTCAAATAATCGTCACCGTGGTGTTGGCCGTGAGCGGGAATCGAACCCGGGTCGCCAGGTTCGTAGCGCCGCGCAGTGCTAACCGCTGCACCGCCGCTCCCCACCACGCGCGCGCATCACCGTGGCCACGTTCGAGTGCATACCACGTCCATGATCTGCATGAGAATGAGCTGGAACTGCACGGAGATCGACATTGAGTCATTCTCGACCGGCCGCTCCAGAGGGTTGTAGTTCTTGAGCAGGTCGCGGTAGAGCTTGCGCTGGTATTCACCCTGCAGCGAGTCTGTGGGCAGGCAGGGGGGGGGGGGGGGCGAGTTGGAGGTGGAGAAAGAGAAGGGCCATGAGGGGCTGTGCCAACATCGGTCCCTTTGGCCTCGCCAGAAATCAATAACGAACGTGGCTGGGCGCGAGAGTGAGAGATGTTCTCAACATGACAACAAGCAACTCGCCTCGTGGCCAGTGCCATGCCCAGAGGGTTATGCTCAGAAGAGAACCAGAGGGGCATGTTTAGTCGTAACCGGCACGGGCAGGGGACGGACATGCAACCCACCTCTCAGAGACCGTAAACAACCGTAAACAATACTCTTTGGATCTCCGGTAAGCACCTTGATTTCCTCCAGGGGTAGGTAAACACTGACCGCGTCTCGTCCTCGTTGCAGAAGGCAAGAGAAGGAAAGCCTATGATTTAGCTAAAATACAGGTTGTCTCAGGGTCACTGCCAAAACGTTGGGAAGGTCAATGAAAATACGAAAGTGGGTAGAAGCTACCTTGCTGCCTCTGCTTCAACGCCAGAATGCATCGGCATGCCACCTGCACCTCCGTTCGATCCGCTCTAACTGCAGCAGGCCTCATCGTTTGGCCTGCACTTTTTCACATCGTCCGCCCGTCGCAAAACTTCTCTCTTACAAAACTTCCGTGTATCTTCGCGAGGGAGCGAATGACCATTGCCGCAAAGACGTGTGGGTATCCTCCACACCAGGAGCGCTGACAGACTCCCTCCTTCAATTGACCAGAACAGAAAGATGCAACGCAAAAAAAAAACCCAAAGATATCCCATCTTGTAAAACGTTTCAGGCGTTCAGAAGTGTAAAGAGGCAGCCTCAGACTTGAGTTGTCTGAGCGCAATGTGTTGAACCTGTGGCTGCTCCACATTTCTTGGGTACCTACTCTGAACACAGGTATTGCGTATTGAGGCATCAGTAGCCAATCATATTGATCTTGCATGCATAACTCTGCCCTGATGTCGGTTTGACACTCAGTGAACATAAACGTGAGATAATACAAAGACAGATTTGATCAGCATTGGGAAAAATTCGATTTCTTAATCAAAGTAAACTTGCATTTAAATAACGTATCTTGTTACTATGCACTCAAGCTGAGTGTTCCGGGCTATCTGACCAATTTCAGAGGTGGAAATTCACAAGAGGTGCATTAAACAATACTGGTGGGTGGGGTAATGGCCGGATTAAGTTCATTGTAGGTACTCTTTGGTTCTATTCGGTAAAGACAAGTAGGTAAAAATAAAATAACAAAAAATCACGACGTTTCGGCCACAACACAAGTGGCCTTCATCAGGTGAAGGGACTGGACTGTCCAGAGGAGAGCGTTGAAGTGAAGACAGCAAGCCCAGGTCGCGTCCTTTAAGCTGTGTGGGAGGAAGGACGCGACCTGGGCTTGCTGTCTTCACTTCAACGCTCTCCTCTGGACAGTCCAGTCCCTTCACCTGATGAAGGCCACTTGTGTTGTGGCCGAAACGTCGTGATTTTTTGTTATTTTATTTTTACCTACGTGACTTTACCGAATAGAACCAAAGAGTATGGATCCTTGCAGTCACGAAAGCTTCAAATCTAGAATTCATTGTAGGTCCCAGATCCTTTGTTTCGTAGCCCTTCAGTGATAATGTTCCACAGTTGGTTCTGCTGCTGCCCTCTGTTGCTCCTAGAGCCGCTGTCATTCCGCTTGTCTCACTCCTAGCACAGCAACGCCGCCTTGTCTCCCCTTGCAACTGCTCTATGTTGAGAGTGAGATTGCGCGAAAAACACCCATTTGAAGATGTTATTCCTAAATTTGCAATGAAAAAATCTCGACAAGTTCATCTCCGGTGTTAAATTCTCTCTCACGTTATGGAAAAAAAAATATTGATGTTGACATGACTCTGCCTCTTCGTATATACACTGTGCCTACCCTTGCTATATAAATATATTTATTCAAGAAGATATCTTGGTTACATTTTTTGCAGGCCCTTTAGTTTTCGTAGGCCCTAGGCACAGTGCCTACTGTGGCCTTTTGGATAATATGGCCCTGTGGGGAGTTTGAACCCTTCCCAATGGTTAAACGCATTAATTTGCTCTATCGTCTGTCCATATGTCTAATAAATAAACTAAAATTGGCAGCAAATGGTGATCATGGTAACTCTTCGAAGGATAATTCACTCTTCAGTACATTACATTTGTATCATAAAGTTGCGTTGCTATTAAGGACCTCCGACAACGTGACAAGTAAACATTTATTACAGTGCTGGCCATAACTCAGCAACCAATGTGAACGGCGGGGTTTAAAGAGCAAGCCCCTCCGCCACCCTCCCCCATGAGCAATATCCCGATGACGTGTTCACGTGGATGACGTGTTCACGTGGATGACGTGTTCACGTGGATGACGTGTTCACGTGGATGACGTGTTCACGTGGATGACGTGTTCACGTGGATGACGTGTTCACGTGGATGACGTGTTCACGTGGATGACGTGTTCACGTGGAACGTCATCTCGCGACGCGCGCGCGTCTGTCCCCTGACGTTATCTCGATATGCGGCTATGACGTCAACATTAGTCATCGACGTCGTCATCGTCGTAAAAAAACCTCCCATCAATCCACTGCTGGATTAAGGTCCTCGGCATGCTTCGCAAAGGGCGCCACAGTCGCGAGATGTTAACTACCTCGCCTGGCATGCAGGAGGGTCATGGGTTCGATCCCGACCCTGACTCCTGTTGTATATTTGGAGTTTTGCGTTTTCTCTCTCCGTGGTCACGTGGATTTTCTCTCGGCGTCCTCGGGGGTTTTTCCCCTCCACGTTTAGAATCGATGTGCGTTTAGAGTATTTGTCTGCTATAAATGCCCGCGCGATAAGCCCCTTCTTTGAGGTATCACTTTTGGCCAGGTCACTTCCGAGAAAGAAGCAAAACAGCTCAGTTGGGGGCCTTACCTGGTGAAAAAAATATCATAGTTTCTACATTAATAGTTTAGTTTAAGCTGCCGGCATCTCTGCTGCTCACCCTCCTGCGATGTTATAATTCACCTAGCACCTCCTTCACACGAGCTCATTTATATAATTGCCGCAATCTCCCGGGGTGGATGTCGCTGCGGGCTTGTTTCCATCATCCCTCGGCTGTCACTCCGTCGTTCCGAATCAGAATCAGAATATGTATTTACACTGGAGAAATCCGATGAGCTATGAAGTTATTTTTCAAAGAAGTCCAGTAAGCGGTGGGTAAGAACGTTACAACAATAAACAACACAAAAACACAATAGGAGTGCAAAGTACAAGAAAGGTTAAATAAATCACTCAAACATACAAATAAAACTAAACCATCCCCATCCTACCAGACAAAGCCCACACAGAGGCATTCACTTATTTTTCAGATGCGACCTTGCCACTAATCATACCTCAACAAAGTGGCTTATCATTTGGACATTTATAGCAGCAAAAAAAATCGAAATAATCTCAATGCCTGTTTCTAAATGTGGAGGGGAAAACCGGAGGACCCAGAGAAAAAAATCCACGCGACCACGGGGAAAAAGAGACACGCAAACTCTAAATATACAGGCCTCATCAGGGTCGGGATCGAACCACCGACCTCCTGTATACCAGGCGAGGTAGTTAACATCTCGCCACCGTGGCGCCTCTGGACCGTAGATGACATCCCTGTTGGCGACGTCGCTGACCTTTTAGCAGTTAAATAATTCCCTCATTCGTTTGCGTATGTTCCCTCGAATAAAATTTACACACTTCCTAGAACAGCCACCAGCGCTGTAGAGCGTTATGGACTTCGTGCACGTGCGTGATTTGTGTTTGCTCGTTTCCTCCTTGTTCGTAAAATCTGGTTTAAAAAAAAAAACGATGACCTTTGTGCGGGTCAACTTGGCCGTTCGTGGGAGGAGTGACGCCGGGTTATGTTTGAGCGACGCATGACCGGATCGCACAAAAGGGAGACACCAAAACGCAATTACGGCCTAATGGCATGCAATCCACGATGCCTCCAGCCTCTGGATATGGCGTCCTGCGTTCATGCGGCCGCTAAGAATGTATGATATACACCACTTTAAATCAGTCGTGCATCAACAAGAGCAAACAACAAAACACCGTCGCCACTTTTAAAAGCATTCGCTCATAAATACGTAACACGCACGGGGCTATTACACATGGGACGTTTGCCATTCGTTCCATGCAATTTCGCGAGACTCAGTGACCCGTTAAATGCGTAAACCCGCGCGTTCCTATCAAAATCAACGATTAAAATATACAGAATCGGCGCCGGGCCAGATTTGGGGGTGGGGTAGGGGTGGTGCGAATGTGGGGTCGCGTTTGCCGCAACGTTTTTGTGGAACGTGGGAAAACTTTTTCACGGCTCGATTGATTGCGGTGCGGACATTGAGTGCGCGTTTACAAAGCCCCTCGATGTACGATGTCCGGTCAACAATGCCCAGCATCGTCCTCTAGTCGCCCGTCTCTATGCCCAACACACACACACACATAGCCCTCTACACACACACACATAGCCCTCTACACACACACATAGCCCTCTACACACACACAGCCCTCTACACACACACATAGCCCTCTACACACACACAGCCCTCTACACACACACACATAGACCTCTACACACACACACACACCCATCTACACACACACGAACAGCCCTCTACACACACACATAGCCCTCTACACACACACAGCCCTCTACACACACACATAGCCCTCTACACACACACACATAGCCCTCTACACACACACACAGCCCTCTACACACACACACATAGCCCTCTACACACAGACACATAGCCCTCTACACACACACATAGCCCTCTACACACACACAAATAGCCCTCTACACACACACACACCCCTCTACACACACACACAGCCCTCTACACACACACACAGCCCTCTACACACACACAGCCCTCTACACACACACATAGCCCTCTACACACATACACAGCCCTCTACACACACACACATAGCCCGCTACACACACACACATAGCCCTCTACACACGTACACA